CCCCCCCCCCCAGAACTCCTCCCCTACCTCTCTCTCTCTGCAGTCTGCTGGCCACAGGGCATCTGCACAGGCTGGGACCGCCGGCTAGGCCAGGAGCCCCGGCAGCTGTGGACTCCCTAGCTCGGAGCAGCCCCTCTTTGGTGAGTGGTGGAGCCGTCCCTGCATTCGCTCTTGGAGCAGCCCCAGCCCTCCCCCAGGGCCTGGGAGCTGAGCCAGCCTCTCTTGGGGGGGACTTCCAGATGCTCAGGCTGGTACCTCCCTCCAGACCTGTGACACACCCTTCATTTTCCCTGCTCTCCTGTCCCCACCCCACCCACTTTCTCATTCCTTCAGGTGTCCCTTCTGTTCCACCCCTTCCTCTCCTCTCTGTCCTGCCTGGTTCTCTGGGGCCATTGCTGGGTCACAGTGGGGCCTCTGAGCTCCCCCTGTGGACAGAAGGGCTGAGAGCCTAATGGCGGAGGTCCTTGAGGATTGGCTGGGATGGGGGGCCCGGAAGAGCCGGTTCACCCTGCTGTCAGTGGGGGTCATCTACCCTCTGCCCGGACCCCTCCCTTGCCCCTGTGGCCAGAAACAAACCTGGAGTGTGCTGGGGCCTGGGTAAGGGATGCTATTCAGCAGCCCTGGAACTGTCCTGTTCTGGGCCAGTTGGCTCTCCTAACCCGGGGGATCCCAGGAGTCCTCAGCTAGAGTAAACTAGTCACCTACATCCCTAAGTTGGGGAGGTGGGCTTGACACATTTGTCCCCCTTTCCTGGGCCCAGGGGGCAGAGGTGAGTGGATACGTAGGGCGTACAGGGGTCCCTTAGACGCAGGAGGAAGCCTCTGACATGAGCTCTTTTTCCTCCTAGGGGTGGGCAGGGGCTGGAGGAAAGATGCCCACGTGGGGGGACCAGGTGCCTGCTCACGGGGGGTGGAAGATGCAGGCGGGCCCAGGAGGTGCTGGCAGGGGTGACAGGCAGTGGCAGAGAATGGCTGGAGGCAGGGAGTGGTGGGCTCCTGAGTGTGTGAGCCGGGGAAGTCAGCTTCTTGCACCGCGGAGCCCCATTAAGGAACTCAAGGGTCCCAATGGGAGTCCCCGGGGGTGGGGGGAGTCCGTTTGTTCAGTGCCCAGAAACTCCCAGGAGTCCCGAGTTTGGAAAGTCTAGCCTGGAAGCTGCTCAGCCCTTAGGTGTGTGTGTGAGCACGGGGCAGAGGGAATCAGGTAGGTGCCAGGGCCCCCCCGGAGGCCAGCCCTTCTAAGGGCGCCGAGCGAGGCACCCACGCCTGGCTGCTTCCTGAGGGCTGCCCACCTTTGCCCGCAGACCCCGCATGGTGGAGAAGCAGCCCCATGAAGGTGCCCAGCCATGCAATGTTCCTGGAAGGCTGTCCTCCTCCTTGCCCTGGCCTCAATCGCCATCCAGTACACGGCCATCCGCACCTTCACCGCCAAGTCCTTCCACACCTGCCCGGGGCTGGCAGAGGCAGGGCTGGCCGAGCGGCTGTGCGAGGAGGGCCCCACCTTCGCCTACAACCTCTCCCGCAAGACCCACATCCTCATTCTGGCCACCACGCGCAGCGGCTCCTCCTTCGTGGGCCAGCTCTTCAACCAGCACCTGGACGTCTTCTACCTGTTCGAGCCCCTCTACCACGTGCAGAACACGCTCATCCCCCGCTTCACCCAGGGCAAGAGCCCCGCGGACCGGCGGGTCATGCTGGGCGCCAGCCGCGACCTCCTGAGGAGCCTCTATGACTGTGACCTCTACTTCCTGGAGAACTACATCAAGCCGCCGCCCGTCAACCACACCACTGACAGGATCTTCCGCCGCGGGGCCAGCAGGGTGCTGTGCTCTCGCCCCGTGTGTGACCCCCCGGGCTCCGCCGACCTGGTGCTGGAGGAGGGGGACTGCGTGCGCAAGTGCGGCGTGCTGAACTTGACGGTGGCCGCCGAGGCCTGTCGGGAGCGCAGCCACGTGGCCATCAAGACCGTGCGGGTGCCCGAGGTCAACGACCTTCGGGCCTTGGTTGAGGACCCCCGGTTGAACCTCAAGGTCATCCAGCTGGTCCGGGACCCGCGTGGCATTCTGGCCTCCCGCAGCGAGACCTTCCGCGACACGTACCGGCTCTGGCGCCTCTGGTACGGCACCGGGAGGAAGCCCTACAACCTGGACGTGACGCAGCTGACCACGGTGTGCGAGGACTTCTCCAACTCCGTGTCCACCGGCCTCACGCGACCCGCGTGGCTCAAGGGCAAGTACATGTTGGTGCGCTACGAGGACCTGGCCAGGAACCCCATGAAGAAGACCGAGGAGATCTACGGCTTCCTGGGGATCCCCCTGGACAGCCACGTGGCCCGCTGGATCCAGAACAACACGCGGGGCGACCCCACCTTGGGCAAGCACAAATACGGCACCGTGCGAAACTCGGCGGCCACGGCCGAGAAGTGGCGCTTCCGCCTCTCCTACGACATCGTGGCCTTTGCCCAGAACGCCTGCCAGCGGGTGCTGGCGCAGCTGGGCTACAAGATGGCCACGTCGGAGGAGGAGCTCAAGAACCCCTCCATCAGTCTGGTGGAGGAGCGGGACTTCCGCCCTTTCTCGTGACGAGGGCGCCGTGGGTGGGGGTGAGGGGCACGTGGCGTCGGTTTTGATAAAATGGACCGTTTCTAACTGTTGCCTTATTTCCCCCTCCCGCCCCCACCCTGCCTTTGTGTCCTTCCTGTCCCCTGCCCACCCTCCACTTCCTTCTGCCCCCCTTTTCGTCTCTGAAATTTGCACTATGTCTTGGACAGGAATCACTGGGGCAGAGGGGACGTGAAGTGGGGTGAGCCCCTACCCCACCCCATTCAGACACACGGATGCTGGGTCTCTGCGTGGATAGTGACAATGTTTACAAGCACGACACTCACACATTCACATGAGCGCATGCGCGCGCGCGCGCACACACACACACACACACACACACACACACACACACACACGGGCGCCCACGAGGAGAGATACGTGCCCCAAACCACAGAACTTCGGAAGCTTCTCCAACGGACGAGTGGTCCGGGTATGGTAGTTTTTGCACTGTCTTACTTCCACAAGGTAAGAGGTTAAAAACAAAAAAGGCCACCTCTCTCTAATTTATGAATGGTGTCTAATCCCTCCCCACCCTGCTGCCTGCCCCCAGTGCCCGCTGCCCCCCTGGGAGCAGAGAAACTGCCCCCTCCTGCCCGCCCTTGCCTGTCGGTGAGCAGGTTTTTACTGTGAGGTGAATGTGGACCTTGTTTATTATTTTCCAGTCTGTGGCGATGCTGTCTGTTTGTCTGTCTGAGTCTCGTGGCTGCCCCTGGACCAGTGACGGCTGATAAATCTTAGGGGTTTCCGATTGATCTTGGGGTCCATCAGTGATATTTCTTTGTGCCAAAAAGAAAAAAAAAAAAGAGTGGATCAGTTTGCTAAATGAACATTGAAATGCTTTATCTGTGTTTTCTGTAAATAAAAGTGTGCAATAATATCTGGGCGTGATTGTGGCACATTCTGAATCGGCAAGGGCAGGCCTTGGTGGGCCAAGTGTTTCTGGTTTGGGGGAGGAGAGGCAGGGAGGGACGCAGGGAGGTGGAGGAGGGGACTCAGCGGCCAGTGTCCGGCTTTCAGATCTCCTGCCACCCTCGTCACCCTCAGTGCTGACTTCGATGGTTCATTTCCATGCAGTCAGTTCAGACCAGGCACCTGGTGGCCAGGGGTCAGGTTCAAACCATTTAACAAGCAGTAGGGCTTGCCGAATCGACGTCCAGGGGTCAGGATGAGGTCCTGGTGACCCCTTTCCGGGCCGGGCGTTGCCCCTTTAGCTTCTGGGTCTGGGGCCTGGATAGCCGGGGAAGGGGACCCTTCCAGGGGTGGGGTGGCTCAGGGCCGGGGCTGCTTATCAGCTGGCCTGGAAGAATTTCAGCGTTTTAACAAGTCGTGCAGGTGTGCTGGTGTCTATGCTGGTGGAATATCAGCTGTGTTTATTTTTCTTCCTATCCTTGGCAATCTAGCAGCTTCCTCTGAGCAACTTCCCCAGCTCTTACTTCAAGAAAACAGCTGGGCCCTGGGGTGGAGGTCACAGCTCTGTTGTCCTGGGACAATGAGAGCCCCTGGGGTTGGGCAGTCCCAGTGGTCCTGGGCTTCCTGAGGAAACTCACTCCTGGGCTATGTGGTGAGTCAGGAGGATACGGATTCAGTGGCTGCAGCAAATAGCTTAGGTAATAGTAGCCTCAGCGAGACGGGCTGTTTTATCAACAGTGTGTGCAGCATAAGCCGGTCAGGGCTGATAGGGTGGCCCCAGGCCGTGCGCCCAGATATGAGGGGCCCAGGCTCTTTCCATGTTGTTGCTTCTCCATTTTTCTGAGGTGTTGCCCTCGTCTGTGTTGTCCAAGATGGCTCGCTAGGCCTCGGAAGGAGAAGAACAAGAAAGGAGGGCACAGCTCTGCCATTTGGGAGCAAACCCCCAAAGTCATAGACATCACTTTGCCTTACGTCTCATTGGCTAGAGCTTGGTCAGCATGGCCGCCTGTAGCCACGAGGGAGGCTGGGAAGGGTAGTCAGCTCTCTGGGCGGCTGTGACTTCTGAAAGGGGCCGATGAGTCAAAGGCTTATCTCCCTGGGCTTCAAGTTTCCTCCCTGCAAAAGGGAGACAGTGTGATTTACACTCTCAGGCTCCACGAACAGTAGGCTAGTTTGGAAAAGTCTGTCAGCACTGGTGGGCGGGGCCTGGAGCTTTTGAGGCCCGCTTTTCAGCCCCTGGTTCACAGGCTCTGCTTCTCCAATCTGTGGTGAGTGAGCCAACCTATGAATTGGCTTCCGGGCATCAGTGCTCGGGTGATCAGTACCTCCCTCAGGGCCCCCGGCCAGCTGTTCTAGCACCCGGGGAAGGCCTGCTCCAATGGAGGCCATGGCCGGCTGGTTCTTTCTCAGTTACAGTAAATGGCGCTGTGGCACTTTTCTCCCAAGGAGGTCCCTGCCCTTTACTTTCCCACCACCCTGCCTTGGATTGTCCTAGAGCTGGGAGGTTTCTCTCTTCTGGAAGGGTGGTTTCCTGGAGGAACTGGAAGACACCAGAGCTGCTGGCCTCGTTGGAGAACCTTTCCCCTCAACTGCTGTGACAAGACTTTCATAACGCTGACCGGGGCTTTAGAGGAAAGTCCTGTTTGGTGACAGAATCGCTCATTCATTCGAGTATTTCTGACTCTTCTGTGTACGGGCCCCAGGGTTGTGGGTATTCCTTCAAGAAAGACAGGCTAGTGGGGGGCACGCACATAAAAAGATGGCTCCAGCATTGGTAAAGCATTGTGCCCCCAGGCGTGTGCCCCGCAGGCAGGCCTGGGCCCCATACACACTTGGTCCTAGAAACCACCAGGCCACTGTACTGACAGGCTTATTCCCTAGGCCTTATGGTGTCATTTGATGTGTATTGGGTCTTGGGGACTTAGAGAAGTCAAGGAAGGTTTCTTTGAGGTGGTGTTACCTGAAGCGAGTCTTGGAGAGGCAGGCACCGGCCCGACTCAGGGTGTGAGAAGATCATTTCCAGCTGAGGGAGGAGCAGGTGCAAAGGCCCAGAGGTGAGATGGGATGAGGCATTTACCGCAGTGTGGGCTGCGGGCGGAGATGTGGGGGGGTAGACGGCGCTCCACATCCTGTCCTCAGCTTCTCAGGCTTGGAAAATCCATTTTACTAGTTCACCCAGGGCAATATAGGCTTCGGGGGATTTATTTATGATGACCAAATACACACGACAGAGAATCAGGAAACAGAGGGCTCGCCTGCTTTCAGGGAAAAGACCAAACTCCTCCAGGGCTCCGGGAGGTTCTGCGGGTCCTGGCTCCCCCACCCCAGC